CCCTAACTATTCTATGATTCTATGAATGGAAGCTACTCCAGAAGCATGGTTCAGGGTGTGTGGTACTCGATTTGAAGTCCTGGACTAGTGGATTAGGGAGCATAGAAGATTACAGGCAGTGCTGAATTGCGACCGTCTAGGGACTGGCATTTGGATCCAAAATCCCATACTTCCTCATAGCCCCGTAACATTTTCTTCCCAGTTCTTCTGCCAGGGTTGGCTCCCTTTCCCTTCCCAAACCCAGATTTTCAACAACTCTCAAGACTTTAGAAAAATGTTAATACCAGTCTAGTTCTTCTGCAGTTCAAAAAACAGCTATAAACAAAGTTAATTCCCCATCTCTGGCTGAATATTTATCTGTCCATAAGTAGAAGGATATCAACAATAAAGTCTCAAAGTAACTAATGCAATACCAACTAACTACTGGAGAGGACACCATACTATAACAGAGATGACAAACTATTTAAAACAATGCAAGACATATATAAAGATATAAATATAAAAGAAATTACAGGTTAAGAAAAAAACCCCAAAAACCAGAAAACAAGTATTTTTTAAAAAATCTTTTTGTTAAGTTTTTCTTTAGACAGAAAAAAATCAATTGAGTTCAAGATAAAATGCACTATTTTAGAAAAGAGCAAACCATATAAAATTAATATGAATTATGTAGCTGTGCTTTCTGAAAATCCTCAAATGAACAGAAAACCCGCAAATGTAAGTAATGTTCTACCTTATCAGTGTTGAACATATATACTAACTATATGGTCACAAAGGTCATCTTAAGATGGGCTCATAACAAGATACCTCCATAAAGCAATTCAGATTGAGTTTTAAGTCTGCTATATAAAAATACCTGATTTGTTATTTTGCACTGTGTTAAATGATTCTGGAAACGCTACATGACTTTCCACCTGAAGGGCAAGTAAGGTCAGCCTAGCCTGGACCACACAGGAAATGATTTTGACAGTTTCTCCTAAAAGCATTTTCTGAATTGGTGATATTACTGAACAGCCTCAAAAAACTGTATTTTTTTTCTGAGTATGTAACTAGGGCTGGAACAACAGTATTGTCTCAGTTCAGGAATAAGGTTAATGAACATGTCACAGGGGACTGACTAGCAAATCTATCACAGACAAGTACTGTGTAATTGATAGTAGTTTAGTGCTGTTATTAACCCCAGATTCTTAGTGCTGTAGTACAAGTAACATGGACTATGCAACACAACATTTGAAAGGGGAGAGACAATACTATGGCCCCAAATTCTGCCTATTACTGAATTTTTCTGAGCCAGAACTTTAAAGTGATCAATAAATCAAATGGCTTGAAGCATTCTAAGTCTCTCTGATATTTTTGGCTGGCCCTATTATTCCATGCTTACTTTTAAAATTTGATTCACGTTTGGAATCTAGAAAAAGTGAAAGCAAGGAAAGCATTTAGGGTTATCATACTCTTATGTAACTCTAAAGGAAAAAGAATATAAAGTCTGCAATACCATAACACGGCAGATGATATACAGCAAAGTGTTGTGAGGGTAAGACAGAGAAATAAATAGCTTCCTATTTAAACAATGTCTAAGGTATTTATTTTGGTGAGAGAATGTGAAGACTGTATTTTTGGTTTGTCTTGTGAAGTCACATGTAATTTTTCCAGATTTTATGTGAAACACTGAGACATTTAATGAGATACGTATTTCTGTGCTCAGAATGTGCTAGTAAGAATCCGCTACCTCTAGATTAAAACTTCCAGTAAAAGATGTCCATTAGTTGATAAACTTAAACTCCTCCAAGAATTGGCAAGAATCTCTGGCAATCCTTATACACTCATGGAAGACTGTGAGGAGGACAGGGATGCCACTCTTCCTCATAGCTGGGTCAGGGCCTATTACAGGATAACACTCAAAGACTCTGATGCCTATATGTTACTATATCAGAGTAAAATCCTTAAAAATACTAAAATGCATCATTAAAAGAATAAAAACCTGAAAGATAAGTGAAACCAAAGATGCATAAACCGAAGGTAAAGTCTGTAATAAAGATTCCTAGCCATGCTAAGACTTGTATTTGTAAAATGGTTTTATCTGGATAAGTATGCTCTGAAAGAGATTATCTAGTGGTTGCTTCCAACTTTCTGTTCTATTTCCTATGATTCTTTGAGAGACAGTAAAGCTGCAGAGCAGAAACACGACAAACTTCAGCCCCTCTGGTGCAGGGAGGAAAAGGGAGGAAAAACCCAATCATCTGGATGAATTGTTGAGTATTGGTTCTTAGTATAAAAAGAAAACAGAATCTTCTAATCATGCTGTCATAAAACACCAATCTGTATAAAATCAGCCTCAAAAAGTAAAAGGAAATTATCGTAGCTACATTTTGAAGAATGTTCTTAGAAATATTCTTTGGCTCATACATAATTTTCAGGTTTTCAAAGTTACTGATATCAAAAAACCCTTAAACCTTAAAAAACCTGCTTTGTTGTTTAAAGTATTTGATTCTGTGTCACTCAGGAGAACACTGAGATTAAAGTTCTTTTGTCTCTGAATATGATATTCACAGTTCTCTGCTTCAAAAAAATCAGCGCAAAATAATTTATTTCTTCTTTCCTCTGTTAATCCTGTATTATGGCTGATAACTCAAAGAAAATTAAGAAATTCAAAAGTATGACAACCATGTAGACCAGTATCATATTGTTGTTACTAAGAAATCACGTTCAGCAACCTTAAGAAACAAACACATGAAACCTATTAAAACCAGAATGGCACTTGAATATGAGTTTCAGTAGATATTTTCAGTAAACAATAGTTAAATACGCATTTACCTAAGAACTCAACAGTAATGTAATGAAAAAAGCATATAATATAATGTAAAGCGAATATAAAATTGAGTAATAGCTGACAGGCAAAACCTTAAGACTTCACTTACTTGACATGTCCCTGAGCAACTGCTGAGCACAAGGGTGTAAAGCCATTTTTATCAGCAGCATCAACTTGTGCTTCTGCAGTCAGCAGCAATCTCACACAATCTATAAATTGAGCAGAAACACAGACTGATGCAACAAAAACAAGCGGTTGAAATTACTAGAAGTTAAAACCTCCTCAAGGGGCAACAGCAGCCAATATTTTTCACTATACACACACCTTAGTGAACCCAAGTAAAAGCTCTGGAAACAGCTTGCAGGAGAGAGGTGAGAACTGACTCCCTGGGGGCATCACCACTCTTTCGCAAAAGGTGCTTGGGCTGGGTTCTGCCAGGGTCCAAATATGTGCCCATTGCTGGCAGCTCCCACAGTGTTATCCAGTTTACCTCTGAAGCGGGGAACAAGATGACAAACTCAAGGCTTCCCCCACTGTTCCCATTCATAGGTTTCTAAACTGACATGCTAAAAATAGCACCAGCCTCATTTCACCATCCTACAGCCAAGTTAAGATAATTAATTACACAGTAATTCAACTGCTTTCCATCCATAAATTGAAGTATCATTTGATGCAATTAAGTCTGAAGAAAACACTTGATCTGCTCTATATTCTTGAAATTGGTTCTAGACCAAAATAAAACAAGTCTTTTGTAGTTGAAACTACCACTTTGAAAATAAGCTCCACTAGAACACCAATTATAAACTCCTGACCTGATTTCTGAGCAAGCTTAATGTGCTCTGTTCCAGCACTAAGGTCCTGAAGCCAAGCTTTGCTTGTGAAGCTTATCACTAGATATCAGAAAAATGTACTTAGAATTACTTAAAAATCTGACTAAGCCAAACTATTCCTGAATGTATTTACTCCTGTTACAAATCTTCCAAATATTAATACAGATGTTGTGGAGTTGATTGAATAAATAGTTAACATTAAGGAATAAGATTCTAAACCTCTGTAAATTCTTATAAATTAAGATTCTAGAAATTCTTAAATAAGTAATTTGATCTGAAATTACTTTTTTTTTTTTTTTTTAAAAAAAAAAGGTTGATTGTCAGAATAAGTTACCAGGACTTCTTTTTTAAGTCATTAAGAAGCTCTCAGTTAACTAACTTACCTAGTATTTCCTAACTAACTTTCCACTTGTGCAATAATACCAATTACAATCAAATTATATTTTTAATCACTTTATAACAGAAAAAATACTTTGCTAACCATGACATGAGTTTTTTTCCTCTCTTCATTGTCAATCCTGATCTTACATTAAACAATTAACTCGAGAACACAGATTCCTGCTTGACATTCTAAAATACTTTTGAAGTTTATAAGGAATGTTGAAAGCATTTTCTGCTAGCAGTTCCATGTATTTGGCTAGAATATTCATTGGTTTCTTCATAAAGCATATGTTTGCCATGCAAAAGCTATGAACACCACACAGAACAAGACCACCTTTCTAGAAAGATATGGTTAACCCACAATTATTGACTGGCAAATCATTTAGGCTGTAGCTTATCTATATGAAAATAGTGTTTCTGATGAAGGTCATTGAAAAGGGCTGTTTATTCTTAGGGATAGGTGCAAGCATGAGGAAACACAGCTACTTTCAAAAGGTATACCAGGTGAGCTAGTAAGCTCAACACAGCCTGTTCTTGTGGCATATCAAGCAAACGAACAATAATCTCCAAGAAGCCTGGGTCCTCTCGATGGATTTTGGATTGGGATTTGGAGAAGTGTGACCTGAGTCAGTCCAGGCATATTAACGCCAGTTCACTGCCGTCTGCCACAGAGGAATCAGCAGCGGAGATGACTGGGCAGAAGGGCAGGCACAAGACAGACACTGATGTTACCACTCAATTAAAGGTTTTGGTCAGAGCAAAAGCAAAACATGGAAGCATATTAACACAAACACCTGGAGACTTTACTGCTTTCCACCACAGCTGGGTAGTTAGTTCTTCCAGAGTGCTGGTAAACACCGTGCAGATACATCCAGTGGCTCGGCAGAGCTGATTCCATGTAGCTGTATGTCTCTGCACCTCATTCCTTTCTACTTCCCACATCATTCCAGTTTTTCCTATCAGTGAGGGTGCCACAGCCTCCAAATACTCAGGACAGAAGAGAATCAATTATATCATAAATGCATATGATTAACACATAGCTGAGTCCAAAGGATATTATTATTCTTCTCTTCCTATCTCTCAGGTTCATGAACTCTTACTACTTTATTCTATCCTCTTCAACCACCTTGTGTGTGTCAGAGAACGGTCAAGACTGGCAACATGATACAGATATAGAGGTACATTAGCTAAGTGAACTACTGTACATGTTATCAAGTGCATAATAGTCTAAAGTGGCTCCTGCTTTGTTAATGGATCAAACCAACAATCTGTTCAGCTATCCCAATCTAGTGGTTAAATCATAAAATTAACAGTTTCCTCTCGTCCACTCAAACACAAAGGAAATACTGGGTGTATACTTCTAGGGTGAAGTTCCCTCTCTCAGACCTACAGATTTGGGAACAGTGCATGCAGGAAACAAAGCAGCTGCTATGAGCTTCAGATGCTGGAACAACCCTCAGCTACAGCTCTCAAAAGGCAACTGTTTCTGAACAGGAAAGCTACACATTTTGCAAATAGGATAGATTAGGAAAAAGTATTTGAGTGTTCTCTTGTGCAAATCAATTTTCTCCACAGACTGGGCTGAGAACACCTAACAGCTGCTGCCACCATGCTGGTTACAATGTGCTCTACCATTCTCTAGTTATCTACACGTCTTAAATCCTGTAATTCTTCATTAAAAATGTGTGGTAATCATTCACTTTCCACTCTTCCCACACTCTCTGCAACATGGTGTTTGTTTCTGAAGGGAGGTACTCACTATGCTGGCTCTTAACAAGTACAGAGCTACTCTTTTCTTCTGGCCAACGATTTCCCAGGAGAAATCAGAAACTCTGACTAGTTGACTTAGTAAGAACAAGGGGTCCTGGAATCCTCTGCATCTATTTAGTCACTAACTCCAGGTAGAAAGTATTCTCAATAAATTAAATCATGGTGTGATCACCCACCAGGGTAAAATTATGTGTTTAGTCTTACAGCTGGACTTGATGATATTAAGGGTCTTTTCCAACCTAAATGATTCTATGATTCTAAGGAAAAATAAAAACAGCCAAAAGAGAGTAACTTACTATTGCAAACCCTACTCATCACAATGAAAAAAATCTGTACAATGAATTATTTTGTCCTTCTTAAAATTTCATTAGCGTCATTTCTTTCCACCAAGTTAGTTAAAAAAGCTACTAAAAAGGATTTTTTTTTAATAAGAGATTTATTCCTATGCTTCCTTTCTTAAGACTATATATTTTTACATAAATCTGTTTTTCAAAGTCTCCATATTGAAGAGCTGCACCTATCCACGCATTGGGAACAAACTGCAAGTAACAAAGAAAGGATTATATATTAAACACAAAAAACCTGTGTGATTCTCTCATTCAGAATTCATCCAGTCCATTCAGTCATTATGATTTGTACAACAAATGCAATGCTTTGTACAACAATGATTTGTACAACAAAGTGTTTTTCACATCCTGTCAAATATAAATAGAAAAACAACACTAAAATATCTGTAATATGTTTTAGCTTAAAAAGTAAAAGATACTAAACAATTACAGGGTGAATATGTATGTGTTCATTTTTATTATTGTGTTCTCATACTTCTGTTAAGTGCCTCTCATTTGAAATTTTGACAATAAAGCAGGTGTCACTAAGAGCTGCTTAGTAATTGTAATTGAAAATCAGGGCATTTGCTTTGAAACATGTTAGGAATACAAGATGAGTAAAGAACAGTTGGGTCAGTTACAGTCTCTCACAAACACCAGCAATGAGAAATGGATGTAAGCCTAGAATAATTCACAGAACACCCATCCAGTGGGGGTGGTGGGAAAAAAAATCCATACAATATAGCAAATTTAGACTCAATACTGAAGATAATGAAGATAAAAAGTTGCCAAAAAAAATGCAAAGGAATAAAATAAGATAAAAATAAAGGACTTCTAAAATATTTTAAAGGTCTTGGCAACAGGAAAGAATCTGTCAGATGAAAAGGTCCAGATGTTTCTACAAAGTAAACCATAGCACCTACCAAGCAAAGTCAAAATATACTATTCTGAATAAAGGGAAAATCACTTCTAGCCCTATGTCTGGTAGTAAAATTAACCCTGAACATGTCAGAAAACTGTACGATATCTCCCTAGGTGTGGATTTTGGATCCTAATTTTACTGATTTTTAAAATACTTGATAACAATAATTGGAATAGTCTCTCTAAATACTATTTTTAACACTGGATTGAGGTTTTCTAATTGTGTCACTAACAAATATATTATTAAATAAACCCACAAAATAGTCTCAAAAGCAGCAGCATTAGAGGCACATGTTTCACCTTCTACTATGAAATAAAATCTCGACCTTACTAAAAGTAGATGGATTTTTTTTGTTATTGGTGTTGGTGGATTTAATCTTTAACGTCCAAAACAGCATAATGGTATTATTTGCAATGTAAGAGTCTAGGAGATTTCCACATACGCAGAAAAAAAGTACACTAATGGCTGCTGGAATTTTAAAAAAAGTTGCTGTTTGAGAGCCTTATGAGTCTAAAATTATCACTGGGTGTTTGTACTCATGAAATTTGTATCTGTTATTAATATATTTGCCTCATTCCATAAATATATTCATAAAATATGAAGATTGACTGTTGAAGGGTTCAGAGATCCTACCTCATCAAGATGGAGGATTGGGGTAGTGGGGAAAGAAAAATGTTATCTCAGTAGAGCTGAGAGAACAAACTAAAACTGATCTATTTCAAAAATAAGACAGTTCATTTTATTTCCCAACTAACACACTACTCTGAAACCCGCTTCCATCATTTTTACCACTGCTGCAGAAGATCAAAACACTGGTGATGACCTACTCTTCCCTGCTTATTCCCTGTAGAAATCTAAAAGATCTTTGATGCAGAACATGGGGCAATGATATCTGGTGGCTTTTTATAGGAATGGAGTAGAGAATCAGCCTGCAGAATGTTATCACCAGAAATAATGCTTTCTGTGTTACAAAATTCTGCCTCCAGAAGCATTGTTTATATATGTGTTACGATTTTTTGTCATATAATCTTACATATCTCAATTTCAATTTTACATTTTTAAAACAAACACTCATTTGACCTAATTTATTATTAAAAACTTATGAAATAAGCTTTCACTATTTTACATGAATGTCATAACAAAACTTCGTATCACTTACCTGTATGTCCATTCGTAGCAGCAGAATACAAGGCAGAATAGCCATCTTCACAAGAGTAATTAATGTCCAGTCCTTCTTCATTAAGCAGCATTGATAATAAAGTGACATTTCCCTGGGCAGCAGCTTGGTGAAGAAGGGTGGGCCTGCCACCCAGGGGGACAGGACCACCACTTGTTAACAAAGGGGTTAGGGAGGAAGACCAGCCTGTGAGTTAAAGCAACAGAAGTTAGATGGAAGACATCAATAAAGTTCTGCATTTTCTGTGTTCTTTTAAAAATTAAAAAGAATCTTGGAAATGACAGGATTTGTTAGGTTAGCACAAGTTTTGTGATGATGCTTTGTCTATACATTAGAAGGTATCCTGAAGAAAAACTATATACAGGGGTGACAGTTGTTAATGCAAATGAACAGGATTTCATTACAAAAGGTTAATGTGAAACGTGTTATGAACTGCAGTAGTAGCTGGATGTCTCAAAAAATTTTATATTACTAAAATTCAGAAGCTACAGAAGTTTTATATAAATTTTAATTTAATTGCTGATACGCTGAGAAGGTTTTTAAAAGTATCTAAAGAAAGGATTCCAAAACAAAATACTTATTTTCATATGAAATTTCATCCTCCTTTACAGTCTCAGTGCAAACCTCAGTATTTATATCTCACTTGCAGTTATAAACTACACTGAGAGCCCTTAGTAACTGTAAGCAACTTTCAGTAAGTTTGAAAAAAATGTAGACATCATTTACACAAATAATACAGAAATAAATATATTAATTATAAGGTAACTGTACCTTAATGTTCCTTTTACTCGGCAGTATTTAAACAATGTATTATAAAATGTTTCAGTGTGAACGAATAAAAGGTTATATAAAATCTATCAGTGAAAGATTTCAAGTTACCCCATTAAAGAATAATACTCAATTCCAAGCTTTGAAAACTTAGGAGTTATCTTGGTTAAATGTTCTGTTCATTACTTATCAGCCTAAGTAGGGAGCTTGTTAAGAATATGGAGCTTGCTGCATAAGGCATAGAAAATTTTGTGTTCTGCCTTAATCAAGGACTGCAAGAGAAAATAGGAGAAAGATTTTATTTTTCTTAGTTTCACTATTACCTGTAGAAAATCCACATTATGTTTCTCTCTTGAGTAATTTTGTATTCTGTGGTCACTATTATATGAGGCTGAAATCTAATGATACAAAGCAAGTTTAAGCAGCTTTTACTGTGGTTCTCCCACACCCAAGATTGAGGAGGAGCTGCCAGGCATTACCTCCAGCTCCATCAAGCTAATCAAGTGCTATCCAACCTGCAACAACCAGAATCAGAAAAAAACATATGCAGTGGCTCTACCATGCTGGGATCATCTGTTGTGTGTTTTGGAAAACCAAAATTAAATATGGAAGTTCCAAATATAATTCTGTAGAAATAATAGGCAGATTTGGGAACCTTACAAGATCTGGACATATTTTAATTAAGGTCCAAACTTACACAAGAATCCATCATCTGAGCAGCCCCAATAAAGAACACATAGTTTGATCCCAGTTCAAAACAATAGAAAAATAAATTATTGGAGTATTTTCGTATTTGTTTCTAAAGCAAGCTAAATTTGTCATTTCAAATTCAGTTTATTAGCTTAGTATGTAAAGGAAACATTTGCAGTATTTTCACCATGCTAGCTTATTATTCAACTTATTTATTTGATATTGACTATAAGAAGTCATCACTACAGCTATGAAGTTACCTGAAAATAAACTGTAGAGTTAACTCCATCCATTTTCATAAAACTTTAATTCTGAAACCATCTTCTGACTATTAATTCTCTTACTAATATTTGTTTTTGCAATATTTTTAATCAGTTTTTCTGAAGGTTTTTTTTTTTAAAAGCTATATACAAACTAAACTGCATCCTTTCAGTGACAAACCCCCCATATTATTTCCACTTGTAATACACATACTTATCTTTTACTAAATCCCCAAAGATCTAAAGTATAACTTTTGCTCAAACTTTCCATTATAAAAGAGGTTTTATTTTCCAACCTTTTGTTGTTCTTTGAAACTAACTGTGCTGCAGCTGTTGCTATCTATCTATCTATATTTATTGATGGTTTTAAATGGTACTTAACTGGATTTACTGTCTTGCCTTGGTAGTTAACTGATAGTGGACATTGCTTAGGTGGCAGTCCAGATTGCTAACATTCTTTGTCCATGTTATATAAGTATTTGGGGGAATTTGAGGAGACTGACTTTACACTTTATGCATGACACTTTCCCAAGCTCACTTTGTAATACAAATACAACTTCGGGGTTCCCTTCCTTATTGAAAATGGTGCAGGTTTGTTGCTGGTGGGTTTGGTTTTGTGTGTGTGTGTTGTTTTGGGGGTTTTTTGTTTGGTTGGTTTTGTTTTTTCCTAATAAATAATCATCATTAACAGAGATGCCAAAATAAAAGGATTTCTTGTGGTGCCATATGTGGTATCTTAACTTTCATTTCAACTCCTTGAAATGAAGAATACATTGTTGCAATTTCAGTGATGAAATTCATGATACTAGCTTTTCATTAGATGAAAACCTGCTGAAAAAAAAAGATACAAAACCCAGGTAGTAACATAAACACAACTTTAGCTTCTATTACCAATTTAAAGCAATATAATAAAGCTGAATTCATCCAACAAAATACAGCAGTGTTAGAAAATACTGATAAATAAGGTACACCATTACAGATGCAAAAAGTTAGGAAATGTGAAGCATCTGTGAAAGCTTGTAGGGCATGCAGTGATGAAAGGCAGAGGTATAGACAAAAACAGCTCTGGCATCAGCTTCAGAATGTGAGATGGTTAATTTCAAAGCCTTGATGGGTCCCTCACCCCCTGCTTTTATCTTCGAAGCCAATTGTATAGAAAGAATAAATCAATCATTACAGAAATGAGCAAAATAAAAAACATATTTCATTGAAGAGTGACATAGAAAGTGCAAAACCAAGAAGAAAGTGAAAGCAGAAATCCCAGGGGTATGAAAATCCAACTGTCTACATTCGTTTTCATTTTGAAGTCTCACAGCCATTGAAATGTAGAAATCCAAACAAAGCAGAAGCATTTTGGCACCAATTCAAAGGCTGCTGAAGTTAATGAAAACACTGTCACAGATTTTGAGTCAGGCCATAAATGTTCACTGTAATTTCTCTATGTGTAGTCTGTTCAACATTAATGGCAAAAGCTGGTGTCCTTTCCTACCAGGGATGAAAAAAGCAACATGCAGCACAATTCCCCGTCTCTAAAAGAAGATATCGTCACGTTAATTTAACAGAACATGTATCTGAAAGAACTGATACTCTGATTTTAAGTTTGCTCTGAATAGTTGCTCTTTCTACAGCCAAGACTCTCCCTTACTGATCATCAGGCTGTTGACATGTTCTTAAAGCAATCTGAGATAACCAGGAACTGTTTTAAAATGAATATATAGTATACTTCAGTGATTAGACTATCATCAGTTCTTAGTCCATGGTAAGAAGAAACAAACATGAATTTGTTGAAAAACAAAAAATATAAAACCAAAGGATTCTTTCAAGGCTTTTTTTAAAGGGTAAATTTGCTTTGCACTGTTTAAAAATATTAACAAATTCTGATTGAAGTTCACTAATTACTATACAATAAAATATTCATAAGATTTCACCATGATCTGCTTTAAATGGAAGTAAAATAGAAATCCTAAACATTTGGGGGTGGGGGGGAGGGAAATAAAACAAATTAAAATCAACCAGAACATTAATAAAACTAACTGTGCCTACAGGGCATGAAAATGCAGATACGGGAAGGAGGTTTCAGTAGTACTTGTAGATTGTTAGATGTTCACCTCACTCAAACTCAAGAAAGAAACTGAAAAAGAAAGTGAATAAGCAATATGAATTCAGGCATTACTGACCACATTATCTTAATGAAAACAGTGTTACTAAGTTTAGGTTATTTCTTCTAAGACAAAGTCTATTTCCATATATATTTATAAAACCTATTTTCTTTTCTTTTCTCAGCATGAAATTTTGAAGGAAATGTCTTTCCATACTTCTGTAACATCTGTTGCTCAAAGTTTATTTAGTTCTGCAGTTTGCCAGAACTCTTGGCCAAAATAGATTAAGTTCCCTTGAAAAAACATAAATAAAACTGGATTGGAGAGTAAGTGCAATAAAATATAAGCATTAGTTTGGGCAAAGACAAAGGTGCTCCTGAATATTTACCTGAAGATTGCAGATAAGGCTATAGAAGTCCTGTGAGCCTGCTTGTAGTCAGTACAGGAGAAGATAACATCTCTATATTAATAAAATAAAACAGCAGACCACTAACTAGGGTCTAAGCAATTTTTTTGTGCAGACTTCAGATTATGGGATATGCTTCCCATTTGTAATTGCAAAAATTAACAAAAAGGAGTGTCACTTACAAAATACAAACAGTGTCAGATGTTCAGAGAAAGGATTATAAGGGGATTAAATGAACCCAAACGTTTCTATCCCTCCCCAAAATAAGTCAATGGAGTGTAAATGAATAAAGATAATCTGAGCACATAAACCAGCACAATTAAAAAGCAAAAAACAAAAATCCAAACTAAACCAGAAAAAAAACCCCAAACAAACAAACAACCCACAAAAAACCCCTCCAAGCTACCAGTTTTTTACAAAAAAAATCCTATCGTCGAGAATTGCCTCTGAGAAGAGACACAAATTTCACAAGAAACACAAATTGATTATTTGGTGTAGGAGTCCTACTTAAAAGGCTGATTGTTCTCCTAAGAAAAAATGTTTACACTTCAAAGTACAAACTAAAGCAGTAACAATACATGGAGTCATGAAGTCAAGTTGTGGTAATCTAGCTTTTAAGAACATTTATTTTTTAAAAAAGAAAAAATAAAAACTGTCTTAAATGGTTACCAAACATCATCTAGTTAACGTAAGACTAACTGAAATATACAAATTCATGCTGATAGGAGTTCTGGAAGACAGCCTCTTGTCTACAAAAACAGCATGAAATTTTGAAGGAAATATCTTTTCTTTAAACTTTGAAGGAAATATCTTTCCTTTTGAAGGAAATGTCTTTCCTTTGAGCTTTCCTTTCAGTTTGAAGCTGATTTTGCCAATAATAGTATATGTTAATAAAATATTTGATTATTTTTTAAATGAAATCTTATTTCCATTATGGAACCTAATGAGGTTTGGAGAATATATGGAATACTGGGAGACTAAATGATCTATCTGGCATGGCAAAAAGACTCAGCTAGGAATAAGAATTTAAGATGAAGATTCAGGATACCCATATGAAAACATCAAACTAAGAGGCAGCCATCAAATCCCACAGTTATTAAGTCTGAGCAGACAAACGGAAGATTCTGAGCTCTTATTTTATGGCACTGTTCAGGAAGAAGAGAGGATTCTGACAGTGTGGTGCCACAGCCACCAAATGTTAAAAACATGACTGGGTTACTCCAGAAACATGGAGAAAAGTCTTCAATGAAGCAGAATGGGAACAAAAATTCCTTAATAATGTGAACCCTGGAATCTCCTATATACACAGATACAAGTTTGCCACACAATGCTTTTGGAACAGCTTCCCCAAGACTGGTGAGTGGGTTCAGCTGCCTTATCAGACAGTGGTGCAGCTACCAATAGAATGGAGTTGGTTGTGTAATGGGAGCAGACTAGCTGGGCAGGGTTTTATACCCTACAGATGATGATATAGGGCCTGAAGTTAGGAGGGACTGAAGTACTGTAGTTGAACTGAGAATAACTGTTGAAAGTCTGCGACCATTCTTCAATGCTAATTGAAGGTCTAAAGTGTTCCATAACTGTGTGTCTGTCTTCCTCACTGCAGTGAAAGTCAAGCTAAAGAGGGGCTTCTACCTAATGGTCTAGCGCTATTGATCCCATCAGGGAAATACACTGACAGAAAGATTTACAGGAGATCTACAATTAACTGAAAGGTAGATGAAGGCTGCCTTTGTTCATTTAATTGCCATCAAGAAGATACCCTGAAGTTGGCAGCACATTAAGCACACAATTAAGTCCCCACCACAATTCAAAACAAACAGCAGATACATACACTGACTCCAGGCTTAGGCTGTGAATGTAATGTTTAGATTTTAACTCTCCAAGAGCAACCCTTTGCTGCTATCTGTTAAGTCTAAACCTGTGAGATGCCACACACAAATATTAACAAATCCTACAACTAAAACCAGTAGTAGTATAGAAAAGTAGAATTAAAAATGAAACATATTCTGTAAGTATTGACATATTTGAAACTGTACTGTTATGCAGGCAATATTATACCCTAATGTGCAGCCATCTAATGCCATAGGAGAATACTCAGCTATTCCCTATTTTCTATAAGATTCACAAAGCACTGAAATAAATATTCCATGGAAGATCACCAGCAAAGGTAATTTTCAAAACATTATTTCAGACTGAGAAAGCATTCTGAAGTCCAAAGTAACAGCATTCACAAAAAACCAAAAACAACAAAAAAAACCCCAATGTTTCTTTAATATACCATAATCTGCACCCCATTTCCTTTAAACATTAGTCCTCTACCTTTAAAAAAAAACTTTCAATTTGTAAACTCCTTGCAGAAGCAAACTAATTTATAACATTAATAAATCAGCAAAAGAATTCCCATACCCATGGAACGTAGAAAAAAATATAAATGAAAATTTCAGCTTTCAGAAAGTAAAAAAAGAGAAAGGTATAAAAAGATAAATAAGATAAATAAGTGATGTACAGGAAACCCGACACATTCTTTTAGAGTGAGACAGTTTGTAGCATATCAATCCCTTTACCTGATGCTGTTACCAGGAGGCTGTCTGAATCACATGGTCTACAGGATGAAGCACTAACAGGGTTTATGGAGGAGCTATAGGCAATGGTGGTGGGAATGACAAAGGAATTTTCTGAACATGCAGGTTGGTTCAGTCCAGGGAAGTGGGAAGGCCAGGCACCCACCTGAGATGAGGCTGTGGCTGGTATGGCACAGCCTGCAGATGCCACAGATAAATCTATAGCAGGTTTTGGTGGCAGCTGAGGTGAGGACTTAGAAATAATTTCCTCATTTATTACCCTGATTCCTTGTGGTGAACTTGAAAGAGGTGAGGTCACGGTTTTGCTGTCAGTTTTTGCACTTGTATTTGGGGAACGACTACTATCCATTAAAACTTTAAGCTGTGGGTATGGTGGAGAAGGAGTTTGTGAAAGCCCTGGTTTCTTAGGAGGAATTGGTGGAGGATTTCCTCTGTCAATTCTTGATACACTGGGAGTCTTTACACTTGTTCTACCGACTGGGGGATAAGTGGCAACTTCCATTGAATGTGATGTCCCTGACCGCGACAGAGCGCCGCTCTGAGGGCTTGTAAATCTCGAAAGGACTTGGGTAACGGTATTCCGAGCTACCTGTTTGGCAACTAGGTTGTCACGACTAGTAGGGGATACATCCCTTGAGGGAGGACTTTGTGTTGTGTTTCCATTTTGGTCTGGCTCATTTGCATTTGCTTGAAATCTAAATCTAGCTGCTTGGATTCGTGGGTTTAGGCCTGGATGCCCAGTAGTGCCAGCAGATGGTGAATGCAAACTGTGCATAGATGAGGAATTCTGAGCTGCAGCAGTTGGTGCTGCAGGGGTGCAAAGGGAAGTACTATTTGAAAAGGGGGAAGTGCTACTTGGTATATCAGGTGATGAGCCTGTACTTGGTCCATTTTCCTCAATTCTGTTTTGATTCTGTGTAAGAACAGGAGTTGTGGGAGGGACGAGTTCACTAGATGAAGATTGCCTATCAAGGACAGGCTTCACCAATGCTGCACTGGTGCACACATTCATTTTAGTATTGCCAGACACTAGTGGGTTCACTGTAGAAGGCTTTACAGTCAAAGGCATCTTCTTAACATTTTCTGTGCTACTGTCCATCACTACAGTTTGGCAGGCAACAGTTCTTGAACTTGGCTCTTCTGTTTCAACAGAAACAGAAACAAGACTCCTATCTTTATTATTTTTAAGAGAAGGATTAGCTTTACTTTCCTTCTCCTTTTTTAATTGCTCAATCATTTTGATCATTTTATCTCTCTCTTCTCTGAGGTCACTGGTGTGGGTTTCCTCTCTATGAAGTTTGGCACGCAACTGCTCTCTCTCTGTGTCAAACTCGGACAGCTGCTTTTCCATTTGAGCTTCCATTTGTGTGCTCCTTTGTTTCTCAGCCACAAGAGACTCCTCCAATTCAGTAGCCTTTTTCTTTTCCTCTTCAAATTTTGTCATCAATTCTTCCAGTTTCTGGGCTTCCTCTACAATTTCACTCTTTCACTAGCATCAATACTATGTGCTTATTCTTTCCACGTTCTTCTTCAAGACGAGCCGATAGCTTTTTGTGCTCCAGCTCAAGATTCTGTAACTGAGATTTTTCCATTTCCAACTGTAAGAAAGCATAAAGAAAAATTCTCATTAACAAGATGGAGACTTTCAATACAACCTAGTACTAACCTGACATTGGTATTTTAACCTTTGAGAGTATCACAGAATCACAGTATCATTAGAGCTGGAAAGGACTCAAAATGAAGCTGTCCATTCAGGAAAGTGATTTGTGATATCTAACACAAGTGCCTATAATCTTATACAAGCAAAAGAGAAGAGACAGGCATCTTGTAAGAACAATTCCGAAACCAAGTGAACCCATTTACTTTCCTCTGATGACAATACAGACATAGAATCATAGAATCCCCCAAAGTGATTAAATTCTTGTAATTCCTAAGTAAGAAGCTACCTGTTCTCCAGAAATTAGCCATAAGACATCACAGAAAGTCCTCAGTAAAGGAACCAGACACAAGCAAGCAATGAGCTTTGTAAATAAACTTTGAGTCCAGAAATGAAAGGCTGAGGTTTTAAGTCTTCCTCACACTGAAGGAGATTAGGGTTGAAATACACAGTTCATCATGCCCGTAATAGGTGTCTTATATCTTGTTTTAACATTTATAAATAAGACATTCATTTCTGAGACTAACTTTTTCGCACAGGCACAAATATCTTCCTTTACTTACTAATACTGGTAGGTTTCACTGACAGCAGTGTTGTATAAACTATGTTGTAAGTTAGAATCAAAAAACTACCTACACTGTGCAGATAATGGATCAGAGTATTTCTTTTCTCCTTATTCATAAAGTCATCACCTCTAATTCATCTTGGCTGCTAATTATGTTTTTTTCAAAGACCCTGTTCTAGAAAAGCCCTGGAAAAATACGTTAATGCACCGTTTTATAGAATACCTACTAGTAATAACACAACCCAGATTGCTTTGTATTTTTCCAAGCAAACTTTTACACAAGTCAAAAAACAAAAGAAAAACTGATTCCTTTCTTTCTGCTTCTTCTTTCACACAACGATGCAGTAGCCTCCTATATGGCTATCTGAATGACTGTTAAGAACAAACAAAACAACCAACCCCAGGGAACTGCTGAGCATTCCTTCTGTACTTTTTTTAATCAGTTTAGCCTTGTCAGTTCTGCTTCATATTTATGTGCAGATCAATACAGAAATACAATTCAGAATTGTACCAATACAGTGCATTTTCTAAGTGGGCATTTTTTTTCTGTAAGAATATTTTCAGATATCTATGAAAAGAAAAAGAAAAAATAATCAAGTTGCTCACAAACATGAAAGATTAATTTTTACTGCAACATGAAACTGTTTCATGCTTCTACAATACGAGACATTTTACAATGCTCAAAAAAATAATCTAAGAAAAACTGTGGCAAATAGTGCACTAAAGATCTTACTTGGAATAAATGTTTCACTTCAATAGATGCAGGAAGAGTCACAGATTATAGATTGAGATTAGAGCGTCATGCTAAAATGATACGAATTTCAGAGTTTAAGACAATACAGTGTTGTGAATATATTTACTGTAAACTGTAACGTGGGAAACAAGATGGCCTCAGGGATTGGTAATAGGTACGGAATATCTCCTCCTCTCTCAGTCAATGCTTAAAATACTGTCTTGGTTGCTAGATGAAACAGACACATAGGCAAAATAAACCAGCCAGGCATTAGAATATAATAGTTTTTCAGAAGCCTGTTACTATAGTGCACTATTCCCTGTCCTCCCCAATCAGAGATGAAACTTCTTAGCTCTGGAAACTTTTTTTCCACAGCACTGTAGATGTGTCTACAATTCATTTTTAACTAAACTCCATTTAAACTAAAGCTAATATAAATACCATTTTAAATAACAGTTTTGCTACTGTCAAGTTATACCAGAGACCTGAAACTCATACCATCAAGAGATGAGTACAAGACGGAGACTCTACAGCTGTAATGGAAATAAATCCCACTTCCTATAGCTCATTGTCTATTTTTTTCCCACATTAACATACAGAATTCACTTAAAACACTTAGCAAAATCACTAAGAAAACATTTTAAAAGGAAGGTAATGGAAATGACATACAGAGAACAAACAATAAATCCTGCAGGAATTTACACTTGTTGATGAATGTCTCAGTCTTCCAACATTTCTAATCATGTTACCTGACTGTAATTTTCTCTTCCATTTTCTTCAGAAGAATCAGAAAATCATACAGAGGTGATAGCAATACTGACGTGATGTATGTTACAGGAATAGTAAAATTTCTTCCCGAAATCATACCATTATCATAAGAAACAGTAAATTAAGAGGAAGAAATCACTGTGGGAAACTATACCTACATTACAAATGTCATTTTGGCTTCCAATAACTCAAAGCCTGTTTAGCAGTGCAGGGGCTCCACTGGGGCTTTAGAGCTTCATCCCTGATTAACCAATTGTCGTGGTTCAAGCCCAGCCGG